CGACGTTTTCCTCCGTCTTACCCTCCCATCATCCGGCATCTCTCCACCCTTTTCCTTCGAGACGAGGCGCGTCTTATTCTCTCTCTCTTTCGTAATTAGGAAGCAAACAGGGGAGGGCGGCGGTCTTGCCAAGTTGGCGGAGTCGGAGATGAAACAGCAGTTTCCGTCCACCCATTCTTCTTCGACCGCCCCGCGCAACCCACGCCGCGGTGGCCACCACCTGACTCGTCGTCGATCGCCGGGTCCGGCCGCTTGGGGTGAAAGGGCGACGACGATATATCCTCGCTGCCAGAACCAACCCTCCAAAGTCTCGAATCGTTTCGCGCCTTGCTTCCTTCGTTTCCGCTTTTTCCACCCCCCACTCTCTCCCGCGGATCGACCAACTCCGAGCGCGCAAACGGAGTGGTTTCTTGCCGACTTGGAGAAACCTCCTCCTCCTCCTCCTCCGTTTTTTCGTCCGACCAACTCGCGAAAAGTCGCGGAAACGAGTGTTTTTCAGTCTCTCCTCCCCCTTCGATGAAATATTACCCCCCTCCCCCAGCATATATTAGACCGTGACGCGTAGAGCGGTTGTTATTTCTGATATTTTCGCCCCGAGGATCTCTGCGTCATCCTCGCGGATGGAAGAAAATTGGGATTGGAAGGGAAACGGAACTCTTCGAATCCCTTTTGCTCACAAGCGAGCGGCACGCGTTTTCTTACCCCCGAACAAACTTTCCACGCGCATTCCTCGAGCTCGTACGCGTTCCACCGCAAACGAGCAAGTAATCCCACGCCGTTCTCGACGAGCTCGTCGTTCTTGCCCTGCATACGAGGGCCTCCTTCCCTTCTTCCCCACCGATACGAAATTGAACTAATTTACGACGTCGTCGCGTGTCAAAATTCGAAATGAAAGAAAGGAAAGAAGGGAAGGTTCGATCGACGAATTATTTTTCGACGGTGGTTTTGCGACACGATCGGCTTAAATAATTTTTAATTATCCATTTGATCGTACGATGACGAAACGTACGTTCGATCGTCTCCTAAATGGGAGCGCGATTGCTTGGCCCCGAAAAGAAATATCGTTCGAAGGTTGTCGAAATCGTCGAAATCGCGGTAATTGGCGCGGTAATGCAATCGGATATACGCGAGCCGGTTTTCGTAGTCCGGTGAAAGCTATCGCGGTAAATATCCGGTTGGGCTCGACGAATTTTACAGGTGGCGAACGACGCCCAACTCGTCGATGCGGAATCACAGCGCGCGCGCGCGCGCCACCTCGTTCCGAGTTTAATAATCCGTCAAAATTGACCACGTCCTACCTCTCTTCTCTCTCTTTTTTTTTATTTTTTGCGGCCCATTATAAATACCCTCTCTTCTCTTCCCGTCTGCCTCTTCTTTTTTTTTTTTTTTTTCACGGGACGCAAAACGCGGTTATATAAAGCGTATATGCACATATACGTACATTTTATTAATTTAGGAAGGAACGGCGACAAAATATACGAATGAAAAATAGATGGTATCAACACAACTGTTCCACCGTTAGACAGAGTTTACGACGGGAACGTGATTCCGCCGCTATTTTTCAGATTAGATTTTTAAACGTATTTTTAAACGTTCCATTTTATTTCGTTCTGTTTGTCGACAAGGAAGATTGTCCGATGTTTCGACGAGGATGACTCGTCGACCGACGCTTTCGAGTGTCTTCTCGTGTCTGAATTCGGCTCGCAAGTTGGCGAGATAGGACGGTTACGAGCGACTCGAGCCGAGTCGTGCCGAGTTTTGCCGAACTTGCACGAGCAGCCCGGCAACATAGCACGAACATTAGCGGAAAATTAATTGGGCGCGCATGTAACGGAACGTGAAAGGCGTGTGTATACACGCGTCGATTTTGATCCGGCATAACTGGATATTGCGAATGACACCTGGAATCACGACGCGCACCGCGAATTCGAAATATCCCAACGCGAAATCGTTCCCGTCCAAATTCACCGCTTTTAATTAATTATCCGCGCGTGAACCACTCCAACGATCCGCCTCTCCCCGGCCAATGGGGTCCGAATTCATAAAAGTTATGACGGGTGAAAAATCGGGCTGCATCGACGAATAACCCGCAGCCATCCGACCGTTTCGAGGTTGGAATAATCTTAAACATTTCTTTGCCCGAGAAAATACAGGCGTGACGAGACAATGCCCTGTTTCGAAACCGGTTGAGGCCGAGGGAAAGTTGGTACGGGACGAGGCGACGGGTTTAATTAGCAAAAAGTTCCTTTAAGGGAAGGGTGGAGGAGAAACTGGAGCATCGAAATGGCAATTTCCTGGCCGGTGCCTTATAGAAGGAACCAACCCCTATGCTTCGCATTATTTTGAATAAAGAACGAGGCGGCTACCCGGCAATCCATTTTCCTCGTCGCGGTCCCGGGGGACGTACTTTATGGAATTAGAGTATCCGCTCCCCAGCCGAGGCACTCGCCTTCTTCGATATAATTCGCGTGGGGATTTATATCAGGTGTACCTCGCTCGTTACAACAGGCCTCGTAAAATCGGCCGAGCGTCAAAGTTTACACGTTCGAGCGAATTGGCGAGCGAAGATAACGGGCGAAACGGACGATGTCCAACCTTTCTGTTTTCTACATATATAGAAATTTTATATATAATTTTATTATCGAACGTTGCTAGCAGTACTATTACTATTCTGTAGTTGGCATCCTTTTGTTTATCTTCGATACGCGATCTTCATTTGTTGTTCTGTTGTTCCCGACACGTGCCACTCACGTATAACCAAAATATATCCATCCAGTTAAATCAGTATATTTCTTATTTATTGTTCACCACTGCCATAACCAACCAACAATATATATATATATATATATAGAAAGATGGGATGGATGGTACGCGCATCGATTCGGCCCACTCGAATGATTTAAAGTAGCACACTGTTACGCAATATCTTAAAACGTCGCAGCGGCGGGAGGAAACTAGTTCCGATACTGGTGATGGATTAGGCGGAGAATTGCGGCGGGCGTTTCCTTCCCCGAATAGACGACGAGGTCGTTAGCCGTTTCTCTACGCGCACGCCATTTTCTCACGGCGGATAGCACCGAAAAGTTGATCCGGGTTAGTCACGTCGTTGTATCTCGACGAGGGGGGGAGCCGGGTATCGATTACTCATTACCGCTTTTGGAAAAGTCGTGCTTCTCGTCCTTCGATTCGAGATCCAGGGCGAAACGAGTTTCAGGGGGGTGTGCGAATTTTAGAAACGGACATCCGCTCTCGATTACCCTCGATTTACGCGAAACCTCAAAGGATCTAGCAAGAGATATCGACATCGATCGCTAGAGGAAAAATAGAGGATAGGGGGAAAGCACATGGAGGGATTTGGTTAGGATCCAAATCTGGATTCGGCCGTTAATGAAAATCTTCCTCCTGCCTTTATAACCGCGCGACTCGAGGGTAAACGTCTTAGTACAGGCTCGTAATATCGGGATTAACACTCGCGAATAATGATATATACGTATCGGGAAGAGGAGGGTCGGAGAGTTAAACGCGACGAAATTGGAAGATCGAGTCGAGGTGGAAGATCCGAGGGAAAAAGAGCGAGTGAGAGATCAGGAATTGGAAATCCGTCGTTGGAAATCTGGAAGAAGCGGATTGCCTCGAATTAAGAAAGATTCCCTTTATCGATCCACGGGGGGAGATTCGTCTCCTTCGTCTCTTTCTTCGCCTCTCCCTGGAACCACCCCTTCTCGTTCCTTTTCCCCACGAGCGTAAGGGATCACGTTTCCGCGGAGGATGACAATAAAAGTGGAAATAAACTTTTTAATACGTTTCACTTTGGCCTGGTTGCTCGGTGACGCGGGCCACGCGGGGATTCAACCGCGCTGCAAGGATGCCTCTCGCCTCCCACCCCTAACTTGAAATTTTTAATTAAAGTCATAGCCGACCGCGGCTTTTTGTCCGCCTCTTGGATACCCTCCCCCTTTGCGCTGCCAGCCCATTGTCGCCGCGGATCGTTTAACGGCTACAACGGCCTGTACTATTAAATTTACAGGAAGTAAAGGAGAAGAAAAGAAAAAAAGAAAAGAAAAGAGAAAAGAAGAGGAGGAAAGATCAATGGATGGTTCCTCGAGAAACTTTTGAAATTCCTTCGCGGAGACGTTTTCGTTTGAAATTAAAACCCTAAAGGAGGAAAGAAACGGATGGAAATTAGGCTAAGTTAATCTTCGTCCTCCTGCGCTGTAACGAACGGTTTCTCCGCGTCGTTTCGTACGGCAGGCCGTGAGTTTCGCACGATATTTAGTAATTAGCCGGGGGGAAGGAATAGCCTATAGGGGGAGCGCGCGACAAAAGGCGGGAATTCGCGCGGAGTTAACCCGATTCGCAGCCTCCTCGACTCATAAAACCCGTTCCGGGGGCGAGCCAATGCCCCTTTAAATAGAAGCGGACAGAGGCGAGGAGGCGAGTGGCCGGGTAGCTATGAATGTCTGGATTTACGTTAAAGACTGACCTCCCCCTCCCTCCTCCATCCCAATTTCTAAAGAAATCCTCGGTCGCGAAAAAATCTGCTTCCCCAAGTATTCGCGGAATCGAGCGAAAAACCGGATCTTGTTATGATTTCGCCAGTTTCTTAAATTAAGCGATTCAAACGGGACTTTGTGTCGTTCTCCCTTGTATTCCCTGTACTTTCATCCCTCGCTTTCTCTCCCCTCGCCGTGTATAACACACAACTGTGTACGATTCTCAATAACTCAATACGCTTTCAAAATAGAGAATTTCGTAACTCGAGGATCACATATAAAAGATAAAAATCTCCTCCACCAGATCTTTCTCTCGATTCTCGCGAAAGGCGCGAGAAAGGAAGGAGAAATAATGGTACGTCTCTGGCTGGTAAATTGGGAATGAGAAATGGAAAAACCGGGGTTCGATTTATATAAATTCATGGCCGATGGAGCGGAAGAGAGAGAGAGAGAGAGAGAACGTAATCCAACCAAAGGTCTGATGATCCTTATCGTTTGTCTTTGCAGAGGCTTACGTGAATCTGGGCGCGGCGCTGGCCTCGGTCGGACGTGGAACGGAAGCGGCTGCGGTTTTGCGGGCCGGCGCATCCTTGGATGGTTCCGGGCTCAAGGACAAGAGGGCTCACGAGGCGGCGAGGGTGCAGGCTCTCCTTCAATTAGGCGCCCTCTACGCCGATCAGGGCAGATTACAAAGGGCCCTGTCCGCGTACAGAGAGGCACTTCACGCCCTCCCGGATCACTATCCACCTCAGGTCAGTTCGCCTCATTTCCCGCCGCCGATTCACGCGGGCCTGCGACCGGTCACGAACAACCACGATCCACTTTGACGGATCCCTCTCTCCCCTCGAGAATTCGATTCGTCCAAGACAACGGATACCTGCGCATCCAATCTCGTTCCCCGCGAAATTACGCGGCTTCGAATTATCCGACCGGATGCAGGAACATCCTAGATACGTGGAATGCAATCGAGTAAACCGAGGATCAACCCCCCGACCGAGATTATCCGTTCCAAGATTATCCTCGCTAGACGAGAGAGAGAGAGAGAGAGAGAGAGAGAGAGAGAGTAGGAAACTCGGAGGTGTCGAGG